TCTCAAAAGAAGACATATGAGCAGCCAACAGATACATGAAAAAATGCTCAGCCTTACTAATCATAAAAGAAATGCAAATTAGAACCACACTAAGATAATACCTAACTGCAGTCAGGATGGCCATCCTCAATAACTCAAAAAACCACATGCTGGAGAGGGTGCAGTGAAAAGGGAACTCTTCTACACTGTTGGTAGGAGTGTAAAGTAGTATAGCCTCTGTGGAAAATCTTATATTATTTCTAATCTATCTGTATGTACTTTTGAGGTTTTCTTTTTTTTTTTTTTTTTTTTGAGTTGGAGTCTCACTCTGTCGCCCAGACTAGAGTGCAGTGGCCACTCCCGGCCACCGCAGCCTCGACCTGCTGGGCTCCGGTGATCCTTCCGCCTCAGCCTTCCAAGTAGCCGAATTACAGGCATGCACTACCACACCCGGCTGATTTTTTGATTTATTGTAGAGATGAGGTCTCGCTGCCCAGGGTCTCAAACCTGCAGGCTCAGGCAATCCACACATCTCAGCCTCCCAAAGGCGCGGGATTATAGGCTGAGCCACCGAGACCGGCTGAGGTTTTCTAAACAGACAATTTCATCAGATGTAAATGATAAATTTTAGTTTTCCTCTTGCCAATTTATTTCTTTAATTTCTTCTTCCTATTTTCCAGTATAACGTCAAGTACAATCAGTGGCTGATTTTCAAATGATAATCCACACTTGCATTCTTGGCTAACCAACCTGGCTATGATACGCTATCTTTCTTTTATATGTTGTTGGATATAGATATTTGTTGGATATGATATTTTTGCATTGTTTTCATGAATGGGATGGACCTAGAAGTTTTCTTTCTCATTACCATAAGGTTTTGCTTACTATGCTTACATTTTATTACTGCATGCATCTCACATGCTCACAGTTCAACTACACTCCTGGCATCAAATCTGTACTATTATTCTTATGTCTTCTGAGATAAGTTCTATGCAGTTGGAGGCTTTTTTACCAGTTTGGGATAATTGGCAATAAAACGATTTGGCCTTATCTTTCTTTCTTCTTATTTCTCTCTCTCCTTTTCCTCCATCCCTCCCTTCTATTTTGTGATGTTTGTTACTCATGGTGCTTCATTTCCCTGTGAGTTTGTTTGAAACTATAAACTCTTATTGAGACTTTGACTTTTAGGCTTTGGCCAAAGGTGAATGCTCCAATGGAAGATACACAGGGCAGCATGAATTCAGGCTGCTAGTGACCATGACTTCTTACAGAAGATTATTTTCTATCCTTCCACTCAGACCATCTTCCATGCAATCCATGGGGTGAGAGATTCCATGACTCACCCAGAGCAACTTCCAGTCGTGCCAGCTTCATTCATGGCAAGTGCCCTATAAGGTGTAAAAATCTCTATACCATATCTTTACTGTACCTTTTCTATGTTTAGACACACAGGTATTTACCATGGTGTTACAACTGCCTCCAATATTCACTACAGGCACAAGCTGCACAGGTCTGTGGCCTAGGAGCAACAGCTTACATCATACAGCCACAGTATATAGGAGGCTGGACCATCCAGGTTTGTGTAAGTTCATTCTATGATGTTCACACAACCAGAAGTGTTATACAGAGGGGGCAGCCCATGGGTTCCAGTACTCTGATCGAGTCCTTGAGTTCGGCCTCCCATCTGGGGTGGGCCATGGTTTGCCTGCTGTCATCAAAGCAGTACCAATTACAGTACCATCATAACACTTAAGCATCAAGACTAAATATATTTTGATGAGTGAAAAAAAGCCAGACATAAAAAAGTAAGTCAAATGATATGCTAGAATTGGTAAAATTAACCTAATTGTCAAAAAACTGAACAGTTGCTTCAGATTGAAAGTGACTCCAGAGTTTCATGAGGAGACTATCCGGGGTAGTGGAAATGTTCTCTACCTTTATCATGGTGATGATTACTCAGCAAACTGTTAACTTAAATGTACTTAAAACTGGTGCATTTTACTGTACATAAACTGTTCATCATTAAAGTTGATTTTAAAAAGAGAATATGTAATAATCAATATCATATTACACATTTGAGATCTGTGCACTTCACTCTATGTAAACTTTATTGCAATAAAGTAATTTTTAAAAATCATTTTAGGGCAGGACACTGTAGCTCATGACTGCAATCCCAGCACTTTGAGAGGCCAAGGTGGGAGGATTGCTAGAGCCCAGGAGTTCGAGATCAGCCTGAGCAACATAGTGAGACCCTGTCTCTACAATAAATCAAAAAATTAGCCAGGTATGGTGGTGCACACCTGTAAGTGCCAGCTACTCAGGAGGCTAAGGCAGAAGGCTCACCCTAAGGCCAGGAGGTTGAAGATGTGGTGAGCCAAGATCAAGCCACTGCATTCTAGTCTGGGTGACAGAGTGAGACTCCAACTAAAAAAAAAAAAAAGAATCCCTTTAGAAACTAGAACTCCAGAAATCAGTTGGAATTTTTTGTTTTTTACCATTTCTAGTAGCACTGATATTACTTTAAAATGCATGAAGCCTTCCTACTGCCTAGCAAATCTCCAAGATAAAGCATCCTTGGCACATCAGTCCTTGGTCAGGTCACCATTTAGTTTTTAGTGCAGATGAAATTATACTTCTATGATAGAAAATGTGTTTCTATGATCAAAGGCTAGTTCTAAGTTAATACACTCAGGGGAGGTTATCAATGCCATAGTGACCTTGACATCATTCAGGGTCATGTTGACAATTCATTTTCTTCTGCAGGTTTATTCAGTTACGACTCAAAAGAAGTCATGTCAACATGAGACACCAATTGCTATTTCAATAGTCCTTAAGGTTTTCAAGGCATGAAATATGCATATTCATTTTTCTGGTTTTACATGGAGAAGATTTTGGCTTAATGAGATAGCAATAGGGTCTTCTCACAAATTCACAGTAAGTCAATTAAAATGCTGTAGCAAGCAGATGTTCACTGAACCCCGACACTGGAGAGACTACAGGTGAATGGAGGAAATTTATGGGAAAATAATGACAGTGAAAGGAACAAAAGGTGCTACTGACTCGTTTTAAAACAAAAACAAAAACAAAAACCCCTCATCCCACTGTGGGAGCCCAGGAAATCTTCCCAGACAGGATGAAACTTAGACCCTGAGAGCTGAACAGGATTAAGTGGACGCAGGAGGGCAACAGAGAGAGTGTAGTGAACGGTGTTCCAGGTAGAGAAAAGGGAGAGCACAGGTACGAGGAAGTCAGGGGCTCCCGATGGCCCAAGGGAAGGCCAGGATGCTTCTAGGAGAGTCCATCCATCTCATACTGCGCCTTCCAGCATTTTAGAATTTGGGGTAAAAATTATAGTCAGCTTATAAAATACAAATGTTTTAAATGTTGGAAAAATATTGTCATTTGTGTTTGTTTCTCTGACATCTCCTTAACACTGAAAACTATGTGGGTTCATCATTGTAACACAGAATTGTTCAAGCATGGTTTCTAGAAAGTACGAAGTCTGTACTTTCGGATGGATTTAATGACAAGAATTTGATATAAATTATTTGGTATTTTATACCTAGTTCATGAGTAAATAAAACCACAATGTGGCACAATGTGGAAAGAAAATAAAAATGTATTCAAATCACTTGCATTATAATTTTTAAAAAACAACAAAGAAAATGAGCTACAGAAAGATGACACTAATTAGGTAATGATTCCTATCCTAACCTCTGTCTCTTCTTAACACTGTCCAGCCTTTTATCTGTGCTTACTGTCATAAACAATAATGCCACTATATAAAGAGAATGTTCCTAGAGAGGATCTTATGGGTAGAGAAGGGTGTTCCCCCGGCCCTGGGGACAGGCTGTATGTCATGTGCAGTGTGGGTACACTGCTTGGCTGGATCAAACATGGACACAGCCCTCAACAGAATGTTTTCCAAGCAACTTATGAGTCTACGGTTTAATGAAAATGATCTTTATTATAAGTTTGGGGATCACAAACTAAAGGATATAATTAAACAATGATTTTAAAGATCCAATCAAATTGGAGTTGGCAACAAGTTGTTAAAAAGGTCTTATATGTTATTCTTCGACTCTACTAATAACCAACACTTAGTCTAACTTTTACACACACACACACCTGGCCTCCATTTTTAAATGCTGCTCTCTCTGTTATAGCAACTAAAGAGAATGAGGATCGTTTTATTATTTAAAGTATAATACCATTTTTGCTGGGCATGGTGGCTCATGCTGGGAATCTCAGCACTCTGGGAAACCAAAGCAGAAAGACTGCTTGAGTCCAGGAGTTCGAGACCAGCCTAAGCAACATAGTGAGATCTCATCTCTACAAAAAAATTAAAAATTATCTGGGTGCAGTAGTGTGTGCCTGGTCCAGCTACTCAGGAGGTTGAGGTGAAAGGATCACCTGAGCTCAGAAGGTTGAGGCTGCCATGAGCCATGATCACGCCACTTTCATCGGGGTGACAGAGTGAGACTCCAACATCAATCAATCAAACAATAAAGTATAGTATATTAGACATTTTGGTCTGTCTACCATATAAACCATGCAAGTAAATACTGCTATAATTTAAAGATCTATGCATTTAGTGTTTTGAGAAATAAACTTTGTTATCAAAAAATTATTTTCTAAACAAAAAGACTGGGTTGAGAGACAATATAAGTCACTATGTATACCACATTGTGTAAACGTCACGTAGCCTTGTGGCTGGACACCTATTCTTTCCCTTCCAGTTGAATCACACCATATTTAAAGTTTAGAGGCCAAGGGCACCCATGGCTAGGTATTAAGAAGTGAGTTTAAAATACAGAAACTGTGCCTAAAATACAAACTGTGTTTCTGAATTAAATATTATTTTTTCAAATGAGTATTTTCAAACTATTATTCAATGCACAAAACACACAGCTCAAGAGAAGCTCTTTGGAGCATACAGTTAATAAGATACATCAAATATTTAATTTCACACACGAAATAAGACCATGCAGATAAGCATTAGGTTCTAATGAAAAACAAACCTTCAGAAAATAGTTGTTATTGTTATTGCAGTTGCCAGACACTCCTTGCAACTCAGTCACAGTGTTCTAAAATGGCTGACAAAAAAAATTAAAGAAAGCGTTTTCCCCCCAACAGCCACAGCAACCTAGTGGTAAAGGACAGAAAAGACACTGCAAACCAGGGCTTGCGATGGCACACACTGCTGTGCATTGGGAGAACGTGCATCCCCTGGTGGAAATGCCCTACGCTTCGTTTTCAGAACTATGGACACAGTGTGAAGTCCATTCACATCACTAAAGGCCATCCATAATAACTGCAATCTTCATTCACACAATCAAGCTGTTTCCAACCAGGAACAGCAAATAGTATGAGTCAAATTCAGTGTTAGTCCTTTAATGCTGTTCACATAACATTATACTCTCATAAGCCTTTTACCACTTACGTGAACCACAGCTTCCATTATGTTTTTACCTCTAGTTAGTACATGTTAACACAAGCAACAAAAACTTATATCCATGTAGACAGCTGCTCTATATTGTATTCAATAATGTTGCTATTGATGTTAATTTCCAACAATGAAAACAAATTATAAAAGAAAGATTAATTTATTTTTTGAGAGAAGGAGCTTCAGTTTCTGGACTGATGATCAATCTTGTTATGAACTACCGCCTGGAGAGATTTTCACATGCCATCTATAATCTAAAACTTTACAATGTCATAAATACTATGTCTTAAAAGGATATTTAAGGAAGTCAAATAGTCACAGCATCTTTAGAGTGCATACAAAAGAGCTCATTTTACTTTCACTTACCATCTCTATTTTCTAATTCAACAGTGGGGTCCAGTACCTGTTGGTACTGTGGTTTCCAGACTGACCCTGGAGCACTTCCAATAGCAGAATTCTCTTTGACAGAAAGATACTCTTAATGTACAAACATGCTACATGAGATTACTCAAAATACACTCAGAGCTGTGGGGTATGACAAGAGAGTAAGTATTATTAAAAAGCAAATGTTGGTAGAAAAATGAACCCTACCCCTAGCATCTTGTGAGAAAGTACTGGCTGTCTGAGGGGCTTACTGAAATCCTCCATGGCTGCCTTTCAGATCATTAAAAAGGAAAATAAAAGAAAGAAAATCAAACAAACGACAATTCTACTAAACCCAGAAATGCAGTCACTAACCACATCCTGATGTCACTGAAACATTCCAGCTGCTCAGATTGGCATCTCCCCTTTCTCAGGTTCCTCACTTGTACTATTCTGCCTTGAGGCAGAACAATTTTAACTCAAAACAAAAATCAGAATGTCTAACGAGTCAACAAACACAGGAATGAAAATTAAACTGAAATTGGCTGTTTGCTTATTTTAAACCCTTCTGGTCTAAAAATTTGGAGGAAACAAAGCAGAAATAGCTGACATTTAAATATAATTTGAAAACGAAACACATAGTTAAAATTCTACTAGAGTATGACCTACAACCATCATACCTGCACGATAAACAACACCTTGTGAGGGGTTCTTCTCAATACCATTCCTAGAGGTCCACTGCGTGTTTACAACTTCAGGACATTATCTCTTTCATTGTGTTGTTTTCCATGCATCCAATTCAAGCAACTCCCCTCTTTCAATAAGACTAGTTCCAAGCTCCAATCAACCTTGGATGATTTGCTCACAACCAGAAGCTGCCTATCCCTGCAGCAGCTAATGCTGGTCTAACTCCTGGCTCTGGAAACCAGCTGGATGAACATGGTTGCTCCGTATAGAATCAGAGGTCTTCCCAGCTGGCCCAGGGAATGTCAGGAAACAGTCAAACTAAAACCATTCTAAGCTTGAAATCACAAGATGATTCCATAAACTATAAGAAAAGGGAGAAACCAGGTGACTGCACACATTCAGGGCCAGTTCTAACAAAGTTATATGAATAAATAAGTGAACTGTTGAACTAAATGCAAAATTAACTCAATTATTCAAGGACCACTTATCCATGGAACATTCAACATTGGTCCTTCTCATTTCCTTAATGCCTCTTGGACATTTGGCTTTTCATTATGAAAGACAGCCGAGTCAAGAGAAAATAGGGAGATGACACATAATCATTGTAATGGTACTTGGTAGCATGTGAAAACAAGAGTTGGAATCACATGATCATCTGAAGTCTTAACACTGGGGTCGATCTTTATCATTGTGCAACATCCATCTCTCCTATGCCCAGAAAATTAGCTGCTGGTTTCACCTGGGTATGGGCGGTAAAACAGTATGCAACACAGGGGAGGGAGGAGATGCTGTCAGAGAGGAGGAGGTAGAAGAGGGGAGAGGCTCCCTGGCTTTTTCCACAAGGTAAGGGTTCCATGCATTAAAGGGAGCACGTGCCTGGTTTCTATTTCTACAACTCGCAGAAAGAAGAAAAGGTTTAACTAATTGCTAAACTCTATTTTTTAAAAAACAATGGGCCAGGCGCAGTGGCTCATGCCTGTAATTCCAGCACTTTGGGAGGTGGAGGCGAGAGGATTGCCTGAGACCACGGGTTCAACACCAGCCTAGGTAACATGGCAAAACCTCATCTCCACAATAAATCAAAAAATTAGCCATGTGTAGTGGCACACAACTATAGTTTCAGCTACTTGGAAGACTGAGGCGGAAGGATCACCTGAACCCAGCTGGTCAAGGCTGCAGTGGCCACTGCACTCCAACCTGGGTGATAGGGTGAGACACTGAGAGAACAAAACATCACAGAACCTCAACTCCTCACCCAAGACAGGGTCCTCTTAGCAGCTTCGGCAGCCAGGGCCTGTATGAGTCTGAACACACAGACCTAGCGAGTATCCTGCATAAGCCCTCGAATAAAGTGAAGAATATATCTCCACCATTACTACATGCCCATGACATCTTAACATACAATGGAGTCGAAATATCCTAGGCCAAAAATAAGTTAAAAATGTAAAAAAAACCAAAAGAAATTGGCTGTCCATGTCCTTCCCTATGTCCTGGCTAGATATCAAAAAAAGTTCTGAAAAAAATGATATATTCGGATGAGTGAGGATTGAACATATAAAACTTCACTGTGCTTCTATCAGCTGGTATAAAGAAGAATATTTGTTTTATCTGAATATTTACCAGCTTACAGAGAATGAAATACAATTAAATTGTTGACAGATCTTCTGACGTGCCCATATGAAACACATGCAGGTTTAAACATGTTTATAATACAGCATGTTGTCCCAGTATATCAGTGTCCATTTGGTAATGACATTAGAAACAGAGCAGCATCTGCATTCTATTTATTACAACCCGTGATGGCTCTGCGTGCCGTAGTCACTTGGGGTCTGTTCATCTACTTGAACTCGTGCAGAGAGCAGGGTGTACATACCCCAGCCTGCATCTGCCCTGTGAAACACGCACTTGTGGAAGACTGCTCTGCAATATATTAGCATAATCCCAGGGAGCAGATCCAAGGAACTTTCTCCTCTGCGGAAAATGCTCTGGAAACGCTCAGCAGGCTTAGTGCTTTTCTGTATATATTTGTGTGAGTATGGGTGTGTTTTAGCACTTAAAATGTTTCTGATTTTATGAAAAAGCATCACATACCATTACAGGACATTTGGAAAAGATTTAAAAACATATAAAGCAGAGGGAGGAAATGACCTAATTCCGGCAGTAAGAACAGCCACAGTTCGCATATTGGAATTTCCACCCTCTCTGTTTCTACATTGGAGTCCCCACTCTGTTTTTACATTGGAGTCACCATTCTTTCTGTTTCTACACTGGGGTCCCCACCCGTTCTGTTTCTACATTGGGGCCCCCACCCTCTCTGTTTCTACATTGGAGCTGCCACTCTTTCTGTTTCTATATTGCAGTCACCACCCTGTTTCTACATTTGGAGTTGCCACTCTTTCTGCTTCTACATTGGAATCCCCACCCTCTCTGTTTCTACATTGGAGTCGCCACTCTATTTCTACATTGGAGTCCCCACCCTCTTTGTTTCTACATTGTAGTCGCCACTCTTTCCATTTCTACATTGGAGTCCCCACCCTCTCTGTTTCTACATTGGAGTCACCTCTCTTCCTATTTCTACATTGGAGTTCTTACCCTTTCTGCTTCTACACTGGAGTCCCCATCCTCTCTGTTTCTACACTCCTTCCATCAGAGTGGGGTAGAAGACAAGACACATGTGCATCCAGCCTCTGTGCTGTGAAGAGGACACAGTGGCTTGGCCGTGACTGGGAGAAATGGGCCACATTTTTCTGTGAGGCTGAGCCTCGGCTCAGGGCAGCCACACACCTCCCTGGAGCCACTGCACCCAGCCTGCGGCCACGACCCTACAAGGATTTGGAAAGCAGGAGGCTGACCTCATCGTCGTCTGCATCACACTGGCTGTAGTGCTGTTCCAGCAGCTCCCGCTGGCGCCGCTCCTGCTCCAGCGTCTGCCTGATCAGCTGGGCTACCTCGCTCACCTGGCCAGGCCTCTCCCGGCCGATGATGAACCTGCAGAAAGGTCAGCAGAGATGAGCACGGGGATGCCCAGCATGGGGAGGGCCAGGCATCTGCACAAGGTCCATTGAGTTCAGAGGGGTTGTCACCTGCAGAACTCAACACAGGCGGGGCCGGGGGGAGTCAGAGGTGAGCAGGGCAGCAACAGCAGTGCCCGGGGACACGGTTCCCTGGAGGTCACAGAACACGGTCACTGTGGGAGAAGACACAGCAGGTGCAAGTCACCCTGTAGCACTTCCACACACTGTGGATGCAAATTCCCAGTTCCTGAGTCCTGCATGTGGAAGCCACTCCAGAAAGCATAAGGCAGAGATTGCTTCAAAGGCACTTGTAGGCTGAGCATGACCAAGGGGGTTAAGATAGGACTTTAGAGATAAGAGACAGAAGGGGAGACAGAGGCAGCATTTTTTTATTTATTTACTTTTCTTTAGAATTGGAGTCTCCATCACCCAGGCTGGGGTGCAGTGGCACACTCACGGTCACCCCATCGTCGACCCACTGGGCTCAAGTGATCCTTCCGCCTCAGCCTTCCAAATAGCTGGAACTACAGGCACATGCTACTACACCCAGCTAATTTTTTGATTTATTGTAGAGATGAGGTCTCATCAAGTTGCCCAGGCAGTTCTCAAACCTGTGGGCTCAGGCAATCCCCTCACTTCAGCCTCCCAAAGCGCTGGGATTACAGGCTTGAGCCACTACACCTGGCCAGCATTTTTTATTTTTAATGAAAATTTTAAATAACAAAGGTGGTGAGTAAATTCCCTTCTTCTTTTGGGGTAAAAGACAGTATGAGGATGGGTATGGTTCAAGAAATAAAGGGATGAAAGGAAGTGTGTGTTGATATCAATTTATGTAAGAAAAGAAGCTATCATAATACTGTAAGAAAGAAATTGGTAGTAGTGGGAAACTGCCCGGGGAGGGAGGGTCACACCTCATCAACAAGGGTAACTGCACAATGAACATTTGTATACCTAACCCTGAATTGTACTCCACATCCTTAAAGTAAAGGAAAAGAAAAGAAAAGAAAAGAAGCTAAAAGAAAAAATCAAGGGAGACAGTTCTTTATTGCAAGCTATAGTCGCCAATGACATGTCCTTGTCAATACAATGAGTTCTGCTCAACAAATTAATACTTACGTTTTAACATCATTTCACATGAATATGTGGTTCTATTTTTATAAAAATACAAATAACGCATCTCCAGGATGCACTTTCTAAGGAACACTTAACAACATTATTTTGAACATGACTCTTCACCTAATCTTGCTTCTACAGCATTCAGTAAAATCCAACATCCCTTCTTGATAAAAACCTTTGAACACCTAGGCATAGAAGGAACATTCCTCAAAACAATAAGAGCCATCCATGAAAAATCTGCAGCCAACATCATGCTTAATGGGGAGAATCTGGAAGCATTTCCCCTAAGAATGGGAACAAGTCAAGGCTGCCCACTCTCACCTCTCCTATTCAACACTGTGCTGGAAGTCCTAGTAAGAGCAATCGGGCGAGAGAAAGAAATCAGGGGTATCCAAATAGGAAGAGAGGAAATTAAGCTATTGCTCTTAGGAGATGGTACAATATTATTCTATATCTAGAAAACCCTAGAGTCTGTCAAAAACGTCCTTGCACTGACAAATGACTTTAGTGAAGTCTCAGAGTACAAAATCAATGTGCAAAAGACAGTTGCATTTCTATACACTAGCAACAAGCAGGCAGAGAACTAAATTAAAAACACAATCCCATTCACAACAGCCACACACACACAAAAGAAATACCTTGGCATCCACCCAACCAGAGAAGTGAAAGACCTCTACAGTGAGACCTACTAAACACTGCTGAATGAAATCATGGATGATATAAACAAATGGAAAAACATCCCTTGCTCATGGTTTGGAAGAACCAGTATTATCAAGATGTCCATCCTACCCAAGGCAATCTACAGATTCAATGCAATACCTATCAAATTACCAACATTTTTCACAGACCTGGAAATGAAGTGTCTAGACACATGCAGAAGAATGAAACTGGAACCCTACCTATCACCATATTAAAAAATCAATTCAAAGTGGATCAAGGACTTACATTTAAAACCTCAAACTATAAGACTCTTAGAAAAAAATGTAAGGAACATCCTACTGGACATCGAAGTAGGCGGTGAGCTCATGACCAAGTCCTTAGTACAACAAAAGCTAGGATAGACAGGTGGAAACTTATCAAACTGAAAAGCTTTTGCACAGCAAAAGAAACCATCAAGAGAATAAAGAGACAAGTCACAGAATGGGAAAAAATATTTGTAAGCTTTTATTTCTTACTTAGGAAATCTTTTTCTGATTTAAGATTGCTGAGATTTTTCTCAAATTTTTCTTCTTGTAGTATTAATGTTTAGCTTTTATATTAAGTCTATGATATCTTGCAAATTAATGTTCATGTGTGATATGTGGTTAGGGTGGAGTTTCACTTTTTTCTACATGGATAACAAATTGTTTCAACTCTACTTATTGAAAAGACCATTCATTATGCCATTGAATTACTTGGGCACATTGTTGAAAATCAGCTGACCATATATTTGTGGGTTGATTTCTGGACTTTCCAATCTATTCCACTGATGTGTTTGATGTGTTTACATGTATGTCAATACAACATTTCCTTGATTCTATATAATAAATCTTGAGGTTAGGTGGTATAAACTCTTCAACTCTGTATCAATCATTTTTCCTCTGCAATTCCATACAGGTTTTACAATTAGCTTGTTGATTTCTGTAAGAAAGCTTGCTAGGCTTGTTTTGAAGTTGCTCTGAACCTCTAGATTAATTTGTGGAGAACTGATACTTCAGCAAGACTGACTCACCTGATCCCTGAACATGGTACCTTTTTGCTCTTATACAGACCTTCTTGACTTTCTCTCAGTACTACATGGTCTCACACATAGTTTGTTAAATTTACCTCTAAGGATTTTGTGTTTTCTGGAGTTAATCTAAAAGGTACTGGTTTTTACATTAATGTTTCCAGTTATTTCTTTTTAGAGTAAAGAAATACAACTGGGCCATAGTTTCATTAAACAATGGCCAGGCCACGTGTTCTTGGGGCTATGACCACCACGTTTTCTTAGTTTTGGGCCCCTTCCCTGTTTTGGGGAGGGGAATCTCCTCCCTCTCTCTCTAATTTACTTTTAAAATAAACTCTGTTTGAACACTTAAAAAAAAGAATACAATTGATTTTTGAATATTGCCTTTGTATTATGTGACTCTGCTAAACTCACTAATTTTAGTATTTTTTTGTAGATTCCTTGGGATTTTTCTAAATAAAATATCACACTCACCATGAAGAAAGACACATTTTTATTTCTTCCTTTCCTATCTATTATTTATGTTTGTCTATTTATTCATAGCCTCAATACACTGGCAAGTACTCCAGTATATGTGAAAGACTCCAGCATATGTATACGAGGAGATGCCCTTCTCTGTTCCCTCCCATTTTAGAATCTAGCTCTGAACTGCCTAGAGATACAGAAATGATTTCATTGAAGATATTATCTTTCTGTGGGTGAAGATACAGAAAGACAGCCGGGATTGGTAGCTCAGCCTATAATCCCAGCGCTTTGGGAGGCTGAGGTGAGTGAATTGCCTGAGCCCGTG